AGATACATAATAAATAAATAAATACAATTTTTGCCAGTACTTTCTTTGGCTTTGCAGTTGCCCTGTCACTTGAGTAACTAGTGGAAATATCTCACCACTGGTGAGATATAAGAAACTGGCATAGGATTTAATTTCCCAGCAAGTATTCAATAATGAAGAAAAAGTTTGGGACAGTAGCCTTTAGCATTTCATGACCAGATTTATTATTTCTCTGTGATCAGAGCAATTTTTTGCAGCATTTTAGTTAAATTGCTAATGTCAATATATCCTGCTTAATACAGCATTTTTGTCGCTTACCTGACTGTGGCTGCTGAGATGAAAAGGGTGGCCTCGTTCACAATTCCTGTCCAAGCATCCCTGGTAGTAGAGACGGACTGCTAGGGCATCGGAAGGGTGTTAGGAAGCTGCAGCAGTGCAGTTGAGCTTGGAAATGTAGAAATCCACTCAGTGGCAATGGAGTTTAAGACACAAGCTGTGTTTGGCATTAGCCAGGCAGATAGGTATAGGATCAAGATCAGGTTTAAGGTCGGGGACAAGTAGGAGTGGGTAAGAAACTAAGTCAAGCGGCAGAGTCGTGGTCAGAAGTCCACGTAGGGGTCAATAACACAGATGAGCAGAAGACATACTGTAACCGGCAGCGGAAATCCGAAGAAAAGTGTCAGACATAGTAGTAAAATCAGTATTTTTTCAGGACCACAGAAAACACTGAAGACAATCCAGCAATGAGGTTTAGCAGACCCCAATTTTAAATAGGCTGCTAACAAGGTTCCTGACACTTTCTCGACCAGTGGATCCCTAGGGCTCTTGTAGAGGTTTCTAGGATTTCCTAAGCAATGAGCAACATCTGCCTCTCAGATAAGAAACCACTATCAACAATGTTCTTTTTGCCGAAAGATTTTTTGGTAGTTATCGGTTGAATAAAGAAGTTAGGATATCTGTCCACTGATTTTGCTGTTTGTGTGTCCCCATATGAGAAACAGCTTAGTTTCTGTCTTTCTTTTAGCTGTGAGACAGAAATTGAAAAGATGGTAAAAGATCTGCAATGGAAAAATAAATATTTTTTTTTAGTGTAGTAGTTAAAAGAAGGGTTTGAAGCTAGACAAGTTTTTATTGCTGTTTGTGTCCCCATATGTGCTCTTCATTTCCTGACCAGTTGAGGTGTCAAAGCAGGCAGTGTGGGCAAACATATTTAAATAAAACTGTTATTCCCTTCCCCATAGTATTAAAATGTAAAAAAGGCCCTAGTTAGACTTTAAAAGAAAATTTCACTTTTAGTGAAATTGTCCTTTAACCACTTCCCGTCCGGCCCTTGTAGATAAACGTCCAGAAGGGATCGCTGCCGATGCTGGTGGACGTTTCTAAACGTCCCTCCGCATCCATTGCCTGTGCACACTTCCTGGGAACACAGATCGCTGTACAGAGGTCCCGATTCATATGATCACTGATTGGCCAATCAGTGATCACATGAACAGTAGTAAACAAGATGTCACTTCCTGACATCATTGTTTACTACTTGTAAAATCAGTGAATGATCAGAGGTCACATGGTACAAGGCTATTCACGACAGCCTTATACCATGTGACAAGCTGTGACCAATCACAGCTCTCACAGTATTTCTCAATGGCTGCAAGAATGCAGCCAGAGAGAAGAAGGAATTATTGCTTTTACAGCCTTTATGGGTTTAAAAGCAATCAGTGTAAAAAAAGAAAGAAAAAATCTTCATCACCCCCCACAAGTAGTAGTGTCACTGTGGTGACACTGTGCTGCTAGGGTGACAGTATGTACAAAACACAACAAAAACATAAATAATAATATATAAAAAAAAAAAAAAAAGTAGAAACAGTTTTGAAATATTATAATTTTTGGTTATAAACTAATTCTCGTTATTTTATTTTTTTTTACTAAAAAGATAGATGAATACATTTTGGCCAAGATTTAAGAAGAAAGATTATTTCTTTGCAAAATTTTCTAAGAAAAACACTTTGTTTTCTGAATTTTTTTACTTTTAATTAATAGCAAAAAAATAAAAATCCCAGTGGTGAATAAATACCACCAAAATAAAGTTTTATCTGTCTCAAAAAATGCTAAAAATGCACATGGGTAGTGATGCATGACCGCGCAATTGTCATTCAAAGTGTGATAGCGTTGAAAGTTGGCCTGGACTGGAAGGGGGTGAAAGTGTCTGGACTTGAAGCGGTTAATAGATCCCCACACCCATAAAAGTGCAGCCCATATGGGATAATTCTTACCTATATGGGCTGCAGATGGAATAGAATTTATTCTAAAAAAACGAGGAAAATAAAACAATTGTCAGCCAGAGAGAAAAAGAAATTATTGCTTTTGCAGCCTTTATGGGTTTAAAAGCAATCTGTAAAAAAAGAAAGAAAAAATCTTCATCACCCCCCACAAGTAGTACAGTGTCACTGTGCTGTTAGGTTGACAGTATGTAAAAAATAAAACAAAAACATAAAATAATAATATAAAAAAATAAAATAAAAATGTAGAAACAGTTGTGAAATATTATAATTTTTGGTTATAAACTAATTCGGGTTATTTAATTTTTTTTTTTACTAAAAAGATAGATGAATACATTTTGGCCAAGATTTATGAAGAAAGATTATTTATTTGCAAAATTTTATAAGAAAAACACTTTGTTTTCTGAATTTTTTTACTTTTTAAATTAATAGCAAAAAAATAAAAATCCCAGTGGTGAATAAATACCACCAAAATAAAGTTTTATCTGTCTCAAAAAATGCTAAAAATGTATATGGGTAGTGATGCATGACCGCGCAATTGTCATTCAAAGTGTGATAGCACTGAAAGCTGAAAGTTGGCCTGGACTGGAAGGGGGTGAAAGTGTCTGGACTTGAAGCGGTTAATCCCCACACCCATAGGAGTGCAGCCCATATGGGATAATATTTACCTATATGGGCTGCAGATGGAATAGAATTTATTCTCAAAAAACGAGGAAAATATAAACAATTGTCTTCAGCTTTTCATAGAACATATTGCCATCATTTTTGCTGTGCAGATGCTGTCCTAAGCATATTATCTTTTTTGTCCTGATTACAAAGAATCAAACTTTATGGGGCTGATTTATGATATGGCCTTAACATGCCTGTACCACAAAAATACAGCATATTGATAAAACACATCAGTGTGTTTTATAAATGCGCTTAGAGGTGACAGAGCATTATTAAATTATTGTGATTATGAGTAAAAAAAAAATAAAATGTAGGAGAACCAAGCCACATGACTTTTCAGAGTTAAAATGACCTACTATTCTTCAATCACAGACGTTGCATACTACAGCCCTGCATTTTATGAATTTATTGAAGGCAATAGTATGTAGATGTACTGAGAGGTTTAATGGACTGGAGATAGCATTATTGTCTCTCTGATATACGTAAGCCACTATACTTGTTATATACTATTTTTAAACCTATCTTTAAAATGTATTTCCACAGTTGCAGCCAAATTGGAATAACACCTGCTTTTTGTTACCTGTCCCCAAGCACATAATAGAACTAAAAAAAAAAAAATTACAATTGCAGTTTACCTTTTTTGGATGCTCTGTTATGAACCCTCCAGCTTGAAAAAATCTTAGGTAAATCTCTTTGTTTATGAGGGGTCTGGACAGCTGTGTTTGCTATAATTAACCCTGCACAGTGCAGGGAGATCTTCATTATCAGTTGTGACTAGATGTGAACATTGTGGGGTTTATTTACTAAAGCTGGAGAGTCCAAAACCAGACTCCCTTCTGCATAGAAACCAATCAGCTTCCAGGTTTCATTGCCAAGGCTTCATTGAACAAGCTGAGGTTAGAAGCTGATTGGTTTCTATGCAGAAGGGAGTCTGATTTTGGACTCTCCAGCTTTAGTAAATAAACCCCAGTATGTCCTAACAAAGGGTTAAAGGTATATAGCTGGGCTTCTTGGATCGTATGTTAATTAGGACAGACTTGGGACAGGCTCACTCTAACATTGTTTAAAAACCTTGCAGTCAGCCATGACACCTTCTCCAGAGAAACATCTAAAAGGTAAGAAATATGTTTTATTTTTTTTTTTAATTAGACATGCTGTATGAATGGGAACACATAAAACACATATAGTGAGGTTCTCTCAAACAAGACTGCAAAAGTGGAAATACCCTTTAATATTTGAACTATTAATATACATAAACCATTGTTTAATATAGAGTAAAACAATAATGTACATTAAATTAGTCTGTCTCTCTCTGCTATATCTAAAATAAAGCAGTGGAAGAAGACATCAAGACAAAGCAGTATATTCAATACTTTGCTGTGTCACATGATGTCCCTGGTTAGTAAGTGACATCTGTTACTAGGAGCCACTTTGATTGCCCTTGTTGTTGATGACACTGAGGATGCCATGAAAGCAGCAACTAAGCAAGCACAAGTAGCTCTTCAGCCTTTGGCTGGAAACTCTTCAAAATTGAAGTGCATATCAAGCAAAATGTTTTATTTTCTATTTTTTAAATGGTTTAGAAGGGTTAACATTCCACTTGGGTTGTTACTGCTATATAGGGTCCACTAGAGAAATTCACGCTTCTTTCTGTCCTGCTAGGGTTGCCACATGGCCACCAAAAGGTAGACTTGTTACTAATGTTATTAAAAGGAAAAAACAGGGACAAAAAGAGAAATAAAAACGTGACAAGAATTCTATTCCTTCAGTACACTACGAAAAAAAACTATTTCCATTTGGAGGACAGGACGTGAGGGAAATTCTCTGAAATGGGAGTCCTGAGTAGCAGTAATAATCCAACAGGGCATATAAATGCTGCCCACTGTCTCCAAAATGAATAAAAAAGCATTGGCTTTATGTACATTTTAAGTTGTAGATCTACTACCTGTGTTCATTAATGGCCAAGCAGGTAATTGCTTTACAAGTGCTTTTCGTTATCCTTCTGTACAGCAAGAAATCTATACTGAAACAAAAAGTGGAATGCATCTCACACTGTAATGAATTTCCATTTTGCAGGTATTTTGGGCACTTCAGCTGGTGACAGTACTGGTTCCAGGGGCAGTGTTCCATCTCTACGCAGCCTGCAAGAGTATCGACCAAGAAGACATTCTTCAGAAGCCTGTTTATACAGTGTTCTACATTATCTCAGTACTGTTGAGAATTACATTGGAAGTAGTGGCCTTTTGGTTACAATCTCATCTATTTGGCTTCCAAGTGAATCCAATTTTTAAATGTGATGCAGGAAGCCTAGATAAAAAATACAATTTCACCAGGTGCATGGTTCCTGAACACTTTGAAAAAACAATCTTTCTCATTGCTATGTATACTTTTACTGTGATTACGATAGTATTATGTGTAGCTGAAATCTTTGAGATACTATGCAGGCGTTTAGGATTTCTAAACACTCAGTGACCTATTGCCTCACCAATGACTTTTTTTCTGGTGTGAAACAGACTATTTCTGAAATACATCTGCAATTTTATGCAGGTTATGAAGCTGTTAAATGTGACGGGACTAATGTGAAATACGTTACAGCAATAGAGACATTTTTTTATGTATTGATTGACCATTTTAGTGTATTTAATTGTATTTCTGTAATAACCCTGGTACTATCACCTTATAATGGATATATTTTCAGCTGAAAATTTGGTGGGAAAATACTATAGTAGAATTCTATGCTATGTTTTTAGAAGGATGATAAAGTAGTGATATTGCCATAGCAGATGGAATAACAAAGGATTATTGCTGTGATGAAATTCTATTTTTGTCTATCAAAGGATAGGTAAGTGTTCTTGGAACAGTAAAGCTAAATTAAAATTGCTTTAATTTTTAGCAATATTCCAAAAAAAAAAAACATGGTAGACAAAAATGTGTATTTCTTTTTATTTTAATGATTTTTTAATTTGTGTTCTAACTGTCCAGTCACACAATACTACAAACCATATTTCATATTGAAATTTCGGTCTTAGCCATTAAAGACACGCTCTCTATACAGTATACAGGATCAGAGCCTGACTTGTGATTTCATACTGTAACATTAACAGTGGTCGCTTATCTATATTAAACATCCATAGATATGGACTATTTTCTAGGAAATGCAGCTTTTGCAGTGCATTCTTATTACAATAAGGGAAAATAGATTTTGTGAAAATGAGTGGTTTAGGATACTATATAAGCAGTCTGTTATACTATTTGTTACAATAAATACTGACTGTATTTGATTGTAAAACATATTGTAGTATGGCACACCTTTGTCATAAGGAAAATTGACATTGTAACCGTATTGTTATAGTATCTAACAAGGTTTATACATCTAAATCTAGATGTATTTTTTGTGGCAGTGAAATGTGTAAGTTAGCAGAACAGATGCTGATGCAGTGTCAATATTAGGAGGAAAGCTAATTAAAGTTAAACTTCAGTTAAACAGCAAAACACATTTGAGAAACATATATGAATAGATTCTATGTCCAGCCACTCTTGTGTTTCGCACAGCTCTGTCACACTACATAGTATTTTTAAAAACATTTTGGATAGAGTAGGGAAGGGTTAAAACCCCTATCTGATTATTTTTGTTGTCTGTGTGCTCCTAGGGAAATTTCCCGTTTCCTTTTGTCTTGGAGATGCGGCAAGAAGTGAGAGGACTTTTTCCCTAATTTAGGGAAGATCCCATCTTAGACATTTATTGCCAGAACATATCCTCATTGGAAGATTCACCGAAATCTAGCTGTGATGAGAAATCTAAAATTTAGGATTTTCTTTTTTATTGTCTCAATACCAGTGGTCACCAGGACAAATAGTTAGGGTGAATTTCCCCATCTGGGACACAGAGAACAGTATAACTTGGCAAAGTTTCTGTTTCACATTCTATCCAAAAATGAAAAAAAAAAAACTGCCTTGCCTTTAATTATACTTTAACAAGATCATTTCACTATTTTCCTGGCTTAGCCTTACAGCTTTCTGTGCAAACTTCTTGCTCATTGACCAATCATCCTGATGTATTATCCAGCAAACAGTCTGGAGACAGATATGTGAATCCACAAAGCTGGACCAGGTTATGAAGATGTCACCGGCCAGGCAATGCAGTGTAGATGAGTTGTATGAAATAAATGATTGGCTAAACACAATTGGTCGAGAAATAACAGTTCACATAAAATTAATGGAAATGTGTATTTAGCTGTTTGTCTGGAGTTCTATTTTAAAGACATGAACAAATTTGAAGTACAGAGGTTTAATTTTCCACTTTTAAAGTGCTATTAAGAAGTGTGACAAAACATGTACATATTGTATTTTGTGACATTAAAACGAAACTCCACAAAAGTTAATATTTTCCACTACAACCATTAATGTCTAAAACTAAGAATCATGTGTAATGTCAGTACTTTAGGGTATACAGCTGAGAAAAGCTAAGGCGTGAACTTCAGGCATTGTTTAACATTGAAAACTGTTTACCAAGTCTTAGTCAAACTAAATTCAAGCATATCCAAATCAAGATGAAAAATGCAATGTATTGCAGTTTACCAATCCTTAGATAAGGTTGATTTTTAACTGTGATCCTGCCGTAAGATCTTCCTGTCCTAGGATGACAATGCTCACTCACTCTTCTGTATCTAGGAAGGGGTAGCATTGGCACCATAAGACTGGAATACCTCTCCTCTCTTCTCCTCTCCCCTCCCCTCCCCTCTCCGCTCCTCTCCTCCAATCTCCTCTCCTCTCTTCTCCGCTCCTCCAATCTCCTCTCCTCACTTCTCCTCTCCCTTCCCCTCTCCTCTCTTCTTTCCCCTCCCCTCCCTTCTCTTTTTCCAGTCCACAATGATAGCTGGAAGCTCAAGATTTATGCCAGAATCAACATGTATTTTTTGCTCTTATTGAACAGATATACCATAAAAGCTTGTAATGGTATAATTAAAGAACCAAAAGGGAGCAAATAGGAGAAGTTCATTGGGATTGATTCACCTTCATCCAAAAAATTGGAGTGCCTGTAGATAAAAACTGGGCAGGTGTAGGCCATTTACACACTCCATGAAGCCTGTCCGAAAACCTCCCAGATATGTTAATCCCCCCCCCCCCCCATCCTGCCCTGTTGGTAGGACATTGCTAAGACACTCCCAGCCATTACTGCCCACCTCTACCATCACAGGAGGGAGCTCTCACTCCCCATACACACAATTCACTATCTCCTCTATTGCAGCAGCACCAAGTTCAGGAATGGAGAGAGAGCTTGCACCAGTGATGATGAGGGTGAGCGGAAATGGCTGGAGCATCCTAGCAATGTCCTAGCAACAAGGCAGGACAGGGGGAGTTTTTTGGTCAGGCTTCAGGAGGTACGTAAATGACTTATACCTACAGCAAGGAAATTATTGAACTTTAGTCAAAGCTGCACTACTGGCACTGCTTACCTGCATAGACAGTTTTTTGGTAAAGGTGAACTAATCTTTTCTAACAGAAACGAGGGGGCATAAATCCTTACCTGCATATTTGTTTCAGGATGATGACTCAGAATATTGAAGATTGTAGTCTCTCATATTAATTCCCTGCAGTTCTCTGCAATGCAGGTGGCAAAACATGCAGGAGGAGATTTACTAAAACTGGAGCACTCAGAATCTGGTGCAACTTTTCATGGTAGCCAATCAGCTTCTAACTTCAGCTTGTTTAATTAGGCTTTGACAATAAGGGCCAATTCACACCAGTGCGTTGATCTGTGTTTTATTGCAGCTGTAAAACGTAGATCAACAGAAGGACATCTAAAAAATAATAATTTCCAATCTGTCCTATTCACACCATAATGCTACGTTGACCTGCATTGTATATATTTAGCATTTTAGCGCAATGCAGTGGATGTAAGCGGATGTCAATAAAGTGCACAAGATATCCTGTGAAAATGCAGTGTATTTTAACGTGCACTAAAATGTATGTCAACGTACGTCAGCACGCGACAAAGTGGATGGAAATGTACATCCATTTTCCATACATTTTAGCACAAGTCAGTGTGAATTGGCCCTTAAACCTGGAAGCTGATTGGCTTATGCAGAGCTGCACCAGATTTTGCGCCATGCAGTTTTAGGGTCAATTCACATCAGTGCATTGAACTGAGATTTAGCGCAGCTGTAAATTGCAGATCAATGGAAGGAAAACTGAAAAACAATAATTTCCAATGTGTCCTATTCACATCATAATGCTGCATTGACCTGAGTTGCGCTAAAATGCAAACGTATGCATTTTAATGCAATGGATGTAAGCAGATGTCCAGTGAAAATCCAGTACACTTTAACGTGTGCTAAAATGCATGTCAACAGATTTCAAAATGTATATCAAATGGATGTTTACGCATGACTAAAATAGATGGAATTGTACAAATAAAAAAAAAAAAAAAAAAAAAAAGCGCAAATCAGTATGAATTGGCCCTAAGTAAATAACCCCCTCTGTGCTAACCAGGCAGCATTATTGCTTCACGCAGTGCTTTCAGACTAAAATTGTGAACATATCTGGAGTAGGAGAGAGCGTCTCCTTTGCTATCTATCTGGCTTTGGGTTTTGAACCAGACTGTATTGCTTAACTGCAATATAGTCTGAGCCCTGGTTCACACTGATGCGGTGTGAAATTCGCAGCGTTTTTTGTGCGAATTCCGCACCGCATCAGAATTGCACCCCGTTCATTCAAACCGCTGTGGGTGTGTATTAACAACACCCCAAAAGCGGTCCGCAAAACGCATAATCGGATCGCATGGGTGTGAATATCCATGCGATCCGATTCTAGTGCGGACCAAAAAAAGGGTCCTGCACCTTTTTGGTACGGTGCGATTAGAGCCATACAAAATGTATGGCTCCAATTGCACCGCACACAAATCGCATGTGATTTGCACAGGAATGCGGTGTGGTTCCTGTGTGAATCACATGCGATATACCGTACCGCATATATGTGAACCCAGGCTGAAGGTAGGTATATAATCCAGCTGTGTTGTCTGACAAAGGTGTCTGGATCACAAGACTACCTGAACAGAACTTCAAATAATTTGGTAGGCAAAACTGTTCATGTATAGGTATTTCAATTGTATATTTAACTGTAAGCCCTGTTCTTTTAAAAGACAACACCCCCCCCCCCCAAAAAAAAAATGTGTTTGCAAACCTCTATGCTTCCATACACCTGCACTTATCTTCAGCACTCTGTAAAAGCACTGTTGGTCACTTGATACCCTGGCCAGCCTCAAAATGTACTGATAGCACCCTGTTCCTACCCATCACCTGTTTCTATTTGACAATGAGGTTGTGCATCACAGTGATGGATCAATAGGTCCAATCATCAAAGTCCTCTGCACTCTCTACACCAGGGGTGTCACACTGGTGGCCCTCCAGCTGTTGCAAAACTACAAGTCCCATCATGCTTCTGCCTTTGGGAGTTTTGCTTGTAACTGTCAATCTTGCAATGCTTCATGGAACTTGTAGTTTGGCAACAGCTGGAGGGCTGCCAGTTTGACACCCATGCTCTACAATGTCCATTTGGAAGGCTGGGGGTTGGGTGGCCACTTTTACAAAATGCGAAAAGATGTGAAAGCAGAAGCTGCCTGCACTTTAGGCATGCAGTAAGATAATTTTTTTTCTTTTTAAAATGTTGTACCTGAAGTCCCATTAGGGGATAAAACTATTTTTTCCTAGCCCTTCCTTTCACCCTCCTCTAACCCATACTAACAGTCTTCTTTTCAATTTTGCCTTGTGATATACTAACAGCACCCCATTAAGGTCCCAAACTGGCACTGTTTCTGGGTAGGGGGGGGACTGCTGATCCAGTGCTCTAGTACCCCCCTCCGGTCCCCTGCTGTCCCCTCTGATATCTCTATCCTCTTCTGGATCATGAGAGGATCTCACTGCAGCCAATCCAATAGAAAGTGTCCAGGTCAGGCAGGCAGAGACATGACACCTGAAGACAGACCCAAACCAGGCAGTAAACACAATAGGAGAAGTCTCGGGCTAGATCGTCACGTGACTGTGGCTACAGGTAAGTAAAAAAGGCTTTTAGATGGGGCTATTTTTTTTTGTATAGATCATGGTATGGTTTTATGCTGGAATGGGGCTTTAAAGAAAGAAATTGCTATGTTAACATTTGTGACAAAAGTATTGCATCGATTATCCATCCAACTTGTATTTAGGAAAGGGCATCTTTTCTTTCAAGCTAAAATATATAATCTCAGGAATGGTCTTTCTGCGTGGAAATTCTATTAATGTGCTGTTGTTTTGTTTTCTTTTAATTGAATTAATAATTCAAATGTCTGGATTTTTTTTTTTTTATTTTTTATTTTTGAATGTCAACATCTTTAAGGGAAAATAAAAAAATAAATGTTTACAACTTATGTATGCTACTTATGGTGGTGTATGCCAAGTATTTGAGTTTTCTGGTTCTTCAAATCAGTGTATTTAATAAAAAAAAATCCTTAACCACTATAACCTGTAAGGATAATAATTAGCTCAGTGAAAATTGAACCATTTATGATTGCGTGTTATGTGATGGCTTAGTTTGATATGACCTGTGACATAAACCTTCGATTATTATTCTGGTTTACAGAATTTATGAAGACTAAAGACTTCATAAATACTATTTGTGTTGAATAGTTCTAAAAAACAAATATAGTCACCTACCAAAAGATATTCAAGCATTATACAACTTTATTGATTGCTCGTATGAAATAAACATGAACTGAGAGAAAACTATAGGATAAAACAGGTTAGCAATCCATGCAGTTTCCACACCAAAGCTATACAGCTTCTAAAACACATCCCACATGGAACAGAAATATATTTTAAATATATGTTAAAAACATTCTTCCCACATACTGTATATTGACATATATTTGAAATACTACAATTTTGTCCGTATTCAATATATTTTTAAAAAAATGTTTATTTATATATATATATATATATATATATATATATATATATATATATATATATATATATATATACTGGATGTTGAAATGCGTTTTTTTTTATATTACAAAATATTTGAAAAATATTTTTAAAAATACATTTTCAAATATACTGTATGTCTTTAAAATACACTTAATCTAATATTTCTGGAATGCATTTACAAATATATGTAAAAATATATGTTAAAATGACTTTTTTTTATATGTTAAAAAAAAAATCTGAAGAATGTATTTAAAAAAAAATATATTTTTAAAAATATTTTTCATATACTGTACAGTATTTTGTAATATATATAAAAAAAAAACACATTTCAACATACAATATATAAATTGTATTTCAAATATATGTCAATATATTTGAGAAAAATATTTTTAAAATATATTTAAAATATATTTTAAAAATATTTTTTAAAATATAAAATATATTTTTCTTCCATGTGGGATATTAGAGTGAAACTAAACCGAAACATTAAAAAACACAAATAGGTAAATTTTTTATGACAGAAAAGACCCTATTGGTTTCTTCTGTCATTAGGCTAGTTCACACCACACTTTTAGCACTCTTTTTGCATGTGTGTTTAGATGTATTTTTTATGAATTTTCTATGCATTCCAGTGTATTTTTTTCTTTTTCTATTTTGGCACTTGACAAATCTTGGAACAATGGTTATGTGGTTTGTAGTGTGTGTACATGCATTTGGACACGTTTTGATGCATTCCAGGTAAAAAAACTGCAGCAGGTTGTACTTTTGTTGAAAACACTAAAACTGACCACATTGGTGTGAACTAGGGCCATTGGAATACATGGAAATTACTGTACATGTGTACCGGATACGGTTTTTAAAAATGCCCTGGAAAGCATCTGGTGTAAACCATCCCTACAGTTGCAAGAAAAAGTATGTGAACCCCTTGGGATTACGTGGAGTTTTGCATGAATTGGGAATAAAATGTGCTCTGAAAGTCATCTAAGTCACAACAATAGAAGAACACAGTCTGCTGAACATAATACTACACAAACATTAGATGTTGCCATAGTTTAATTGCACATAACATGTAAACATTCACAATGCAGGGAGGAAAACGTATGTCAACCTTTGGACTTAATAACTGGTTGACCCTCCTTTGGCAGCAATAACCTCAACCAAACGTTTCCTGTAGTTGCAGATCAGACCTGCACAACGATCTGGAGTCATTTTGGACCACTCCTCTTCACAAAACTGCAATATTTTTGGGATGTCTGGTGTGAATCTCTCTCTTAAGGTCATGCCACAGCATTTCAATCGGGTTGAGGTCAGGACTCTGACTGGGCCACTCCAGAAGGCATATTCTGTGCTGTTGCAGCCATTGTTTTGTTGAATTACTTGTATGCTTTGGGTCATTGTCCTGTTGCATCACCCATCCTCTGCGGAGCTTCAGTTGGCGGACAGATGGTCGTATGTTTTCCTGCAAAATGTCTTGATAAACTCTGGAATTCATTTTCCCATCAATGACAACAATCCGTCCAGGCCCTGAGGCAGCAAAGCAGCCCCAAACCATGATGCTCCCTCCGCCATGTTTTACAGTGGGGATGAGGTTTTGATGTTGGTGTGCTGTGCCTTTTTTTCTCACACACATAGTGTTGTGTGTTCTTCCCAAACAACTCAATCTTGGTTTCATCTGTTCACAGTATATTTTGCCAGTAGTGCTGTGGAACATCCAGGTGCTCTTTTGCAAACTTCAAACGTGCTGCAATATTCTTTTTGGACAGCAGAGGCTTCCTCTGTGGTGTCCTCCCATGTACTCCATTCTTGTTTAATGTTTTCCTTATTGTAGATGTGTCAACAAAAATGTTAGCATGTGCCAGAGATTTCTGTAGGTCTTTAGCTGACACTCTGGGATTCTTCTTTTCCTCATGCAGCATTCTGCGCTGTGCTCTTGGCAGTCATTTTTACAGGACAACCGCACCTAGGGAGAGTAGCAACAGTGCTAAACTTTCTCCATTTGTAGACAGTCTGCTTACCGTGGACACATGAACATCAAGGCTTTTGGAGATACTTTTGTAACCCTTTCCAGCTTCATGCAAGTCAACAATTCTTGATCGTAGGTCTTCTGAGAGCTCTTTTCTGCGAGGCATGGTTCACATCAGACAGTGCTTCTTGAAACCAGTAAACCCAAAACAGGTGTGTGTTTTTTAAGGGCAGGACAGCTGTCAGCAACACATCCAATATCATCACACTGATTGGAGTCAAGGTTGGCTCACTCCTGGCTCCAATTAGCTCTGGGAGAAGTCATTAAGCTAGGGCCTCACATACTTTTCCTCCCTGCACTGTGAATGTTTACATGTTATGTGCAATTAAACCATGGCAATATCTAATGTTTGTGTAGTATTATGTTCAGCAGACTGCGTTCTTCTATTGTTGTGACTTAGATGACGTTCAGAGCACATTTTATGCCCAATTCATGCAAAACTCCACGTAATCCCAAGGGGTTCACATACTGTTTCTTGCAACTGTAGATCGTTCTTGCCTGCCTGTCAGTAATTCTGTACACTGAGCTGCGCATGTTCATGCGTGGGAGTTACATCACCCCGGTCCTGACAATCAAATGGGCCAAAAAAAAAGTCCAAACCCAGAAGGAAGACCAGCAGACGATAGAAGCATCTGACAAGGCAGCGCTAGAGGAGATTGCTTTCAAGGTGAGTCTGCTGTGCATATTAGCACATTATTAAAAACTCATTAGGGCCCCCTTTTTTTTCACAAGTGTATTTCCACTTCATGTACTGTATAAGAAATAGTATAGTACTTATTTAGTATTTCAATCAATTACATAAAGTCATGGGGACCCATGCTGAGAACTTCTTGTTATCAACGATGTATTCAAAGAACCTTCATATAAAAGAATTATATATTATGTGAAAATTGTGTCTGTATATAGAAGTATTGTTACAATTTCCTTAAAAGGTGCTTTAACCACCTCCCGCCCGCTATATAGTAATATGACGGGCACAAGGTGGTTCTCTCGTTCTGGGAGGATGTCATATGACGTCCTCCCATTCTCACTGTGCATGCGCAGCTCAGGGAGCGCGCAGCATGGCGGTCGGCGGTGCACTGTGTCCCTCGGACATAGCGGATCACCGAAAAAGCCGAAGATGTCGGCTCGGTCATGTGATCAGCTGTGTCCAATCACAGCTGATCACATGTAAACAGGGAAATGCCGGTTATCGGTATTTCTCTCCTCTCGAGCTGTCACTCTGACGGTTCGAGAGGAGAGCTGGTAATTGGCTTTCCGTGGAGGGGACATGTACACTGATCATCAGGGCACTGATGATCAGTGTGCCCTGATGATCAGTGTAGCCCCAGCAGTGCCACCTGTCAGTGCTCATCAGTGCCTCGTGCCAGTGCCCATCAGTGCCACATATCAGTGCCTGCCAGTGCACATTAATGCCACATATCAGTGCCCATCTGAGCTGCCTTTTAGTGTCACCCATCAGTGCTGCCAATCAGTGCTGCCTATCAGTTCACATCAGTGCCGCCTATCAGTGCGCATCAGTGCCGCTTAACAGTGCCAGTCAGTGCCGCCTAACAGTGCCCGTCAGTGCCGCCTAACAGTGCCATGTATCAGTGATGCCTGTCAATGCCAATCAGTGCCACCTATCAGTGCCTCCTCATCAGTGCCCATCAGTGCCACCTATCAGTGTCCATCAGTGCAGCCTATCAGTGCCCATCAGTGCAGCCTCATTAGCGCACATCAGTGAAGGTGAAAAATCACTTATTTACAAAATTTTATAACAAAAACTAAGAAAAAAACTTTTTTTTTCAAACTTTTCAGTGGTTTTTGGTTTAAGAAAAAATAAAAAACCCAGAGGTGATTAAATACCATCAAATTAAAGCTCTATCTGTCACAAAAAAAATGATAAAACTTTCATATGGGTATAGTGTTGTTTGACCGCGCAATTGTCATTCAAAGTGCAACAGCGCTGAAAGCTGAAAATTGGCCTGAGCAGGAAGGGGGTATAAGTGCCCTGTAGGCTAGCGGTTAAAATCTCCACATCATACAGTTACTCCAATGGAAATTAATTTATTGTAGTTCCATAACTTGTAAAGTCAATCATTTAATAATGTAATGCACCAATCCAGCTGCTGATTGAATGTATTAATAGATTGTGAAATGTTGAATACGATGGAGATGGATAGGAGATAGGAAGAAGGTATATGAGAAAATTCAAACGTTTGACAAATAAATATATAGCAACCATTTTCATTTTTATAATTTCTTTGTCCTGTCTAACATCTTACAATTTATTACTATATTGAATCAGGGATTACTATATTGAATCAGTGGCTAGATCAGTGGCAGCTCCGGCTTGTGAAATGACTATCAGCTGCTATAGCAGCCAGGAGTCTGTTTATACTTCTTCAGTTGACTGTCAGTGGTCTCATGGAAGTAATTTGAATGACTGTAAAACTAGTAGTTAGCTGCCACACTTAGTACAATGCCACCCCCCTTTCCCTGCCTGATCCCCTTCTGTGCTATTTCTCTTAGGGACTGCTGCCACTCCTGGGTGTCCTGGATGGCCATTTTGGTTGTCACGTCACTGGGGGGAGAACAAAGGATGATCAGCAAAGTGAAAGATGCCAGAAGCGACAAACATCTAATCATTTACGGTTTTAGCACTGTCCTTACCTGGCTGCTGTGGCAGAGGAAGAAGCTGGTCAAGCACAATCTGTACTTGATTAGCTTCAGTGGATTATAAATAATACATTAGGGGTTTAATAGACCCCTAATATCTCCTTTAACAACTTGCCCCTCCTGAGGATTTACCCCCCTTCATGACCAAGCCATTTTTTTGCGTTATGGCGCTGCGTTACTTTAACTGACAATTGTGCAGTCATGTAACACTGCACCCAAATGAAATTTATGTCCTTTTTTTTCCCCACAAATTGAGCTTTCTTTCGGTGGTATTTGATTGCCTGTGTGGTTTTCATTTTGTGTGCTATAAAAAAAAAAGCCTGACAATTTTGAGAAACAAAAACTATATTTTTGATTTTTTGCTATAAAACATGTCCAGTAAAAAAATGTTAAGAATCAGTTTGTCATAAATTTACACCAAACTGTATTCTGCTACGTCTTTGCTATAAAAAAAATCCCAATACATGTCAATGAATTGGCCTACGTGAAAGATATAGAGTTTACAAATGGCGGTATAGATACTGGAATTTTAATTTTTTTAAAGTTTTTACTAGTAATGGCGGCGATTGGCAACTTATAGCGGGACTGCGGCGGACATTCTGAGACTGGGGGGAACTGACTTGGTGTCACTGACATCCCCAGTGACACCAATACAGTGATCAGTGCTAAAAAAAAAAAAAAAGCACTGACACTGTACTAATGGCACTGGGCAGGATGGGGTTAACATTAGGGGCGATTAAAGGGTTAACTGTGTGCAGGAAATGTTTTACTGGGGGGCAGTGTGTGTGTGTGTGATTTACTGTAATCACACTGCTCTGGATGGCTGTGCTTTGCACAGCCATCCAGAGCAGTGTGCGCGAGTCGACAGGGAGGAGGACTGTTAGTAAACAAAACAGCCCTTCTCCCCATCGGTGATCGTCGGAAATCATCGGGCGCCGGCGAGTAATTACCGGCCGGGACCCAGTGATTGACAGCTGTGGCCGCGAATGGCGGCGTGCGCATGCCTCCTACCTGGAAATGCGAAATCACGTATATATACGTAATTTTGCGCACCCCTTGCCAGATAAGATATCCTGTATCCCCCTATTCATCTTCACCTGCATAATGAGCAGTTAATCCTCGGCTGTCATGCTGACCCCGTCTTACCGCAGACATATGCCTACTTTAAAAAAAAAAAATTAGGCACATTTATGGAGCACATCAGGGCTTCAAGGCTTTGAAGTAAGAAAAGTTCCTTTCATTTTAATTAATAGTACTGAGAGAAGAACAGTCTGGTACATGACCTGCCGAAGCACAAAATGTTCTCTGCAGCATTATGCGGAATGTATTTTAATAAAATGCAGGTGCAGTGTGGAGTAAACACTACCATGACCAGCAGAGAGCTGATAGCAAGTTCTTTATTATTCCTTAAATATTGCAAGTTCTTTAACTTCTTCATGATTTTCCTTTGTAAAATGTGTACCTCAATGGCACAACAGTACATGGAGCACTGAAAAGAAGCCCTTGGTTTCTTTGGTAGGAGATTATACTGAAGGCAGTAGTCACTTGCCTTCACATGGAGGTAGATCTAACTATTTTAACAAGGAGAGGGTATTATGGGTACAGTGGTAATGTCAGGAATGGACTGGCCAGCAATGGTGGGACTCACCTGCCTTTTGATCTGCAGTACCAGGGCTGGCCAGCGGGTGCTCCCAGCAATCAGAGACTCAACTTTGCAGCCAGCTAACACCTGGAACTGATTATGCTGGGGTATTTAAGGGGATGGCCAGACCCACAGACTCTGCCTTGGTGTTGTGTTTGTCCTGGGCCCTGTATCTGTCCTGCATCCTGTATCCTTTCCTGTTCCTGCTCTCTGTTTCTGTCTGATTCTCTGCTGACCCTGTTCTGATCCCTGGCTTGTGACCCTGACCATCCCTCTGCCTGACCCTCTGTACCACGCTGCTTGCTACCTGTTTCTGATCCCTGGCTTGTGACCTTGACCATCCCTCTGCCTGACCCTCTGTACTACGCTGCTTGCTACCTGCTGAACCTGGCCTGTGACCCCGACCATCTCCGCTTGCTCCCCCTGTACCTACCTGCCCTATTGATATTGACCCGGCCTGCCTGACGATGCTTGCTTGTTTGTACTGTTATCTGTGGGTGGTTGAAATTTTGGTTTGTTTTGCACTGTATTACCTGACGTTTCTGCCAGTTCATTTTACAGCGGTTGAAAACATTGTTATATATCTATTTGTTTTCAATTTAAGGATACAGATTGTTTTATTTGGTTAAAAAATAGATACAATGTTTTTTTCAACCGCTGTAAATGTTGAACGGACTGTCAGTGGAGAGAACAGTTCATGAAATAGCGGTGCTCTCTGCCAGCAGTTCACTTTTTGCTGCTACGGGAAGACTCTATTCATTTCATTTTCTTCCTCTCTTCTCAATTCTCCTTCTATCTTCACCTTATGTCCCGCTTCTCCCATTCATTATTTTCTTTTTCCTTCCCAACCAGGACTCCCCCACACTCCCAGTAAGATTCACCACGCCAACCAATTGCCCCGTCCCACTCCACCCTGCCCTCCCCCCCCCCCCCACCGTCCCACCCCTTATTCCTACGCCCTCCCCCCAATTAAGAAACCATTATGCGAATCCAACTCCACAATACCATCCAACCTCCTTCCCCCCCCGTCACCCTCACAACCAGCCCAACCCAAAATTTTTTTAAAACCCTTTCCCCCAAATTTTTGGTTTTTTCTTTTAAAAAAAATTTTTTTCCTCCTTTTTTTTTTTTTTAAATTTTTCCCTTTTTTCTTTAATTTTTTTTTTAAAAAACCCCCCTTTTTTTTTTCCCCCCCCAAAAATTTCCCCCAAAAAAAATTTAAAAAAACCGGGGGGAAAAAAAAAAAAAAATTTAAACCCCCCCCCCCCCCCAAAAACCCCAAAACCCCCAAAAAAAACCCCTTTTTTTAAAAAATTTCCCCCCAAAACCAAACCCCAAAAACCCCCGGGGCCCCCCCCCAAAAAATTCCCCCCCAAAAAAAAAAAAAAAAACCCCCCCCCAACCCAAAACCCCCAAACCTTCCCCGGGGAAAAAAAACCCCCCCAAAAAACCCCCCCCCCCCAAAAACCCCCCCCCCCCCCAAAAAAAAACCCAACCCCCCCCCCCCCCCCCCCAAAAAAAAACCCCCCACCCCAAAAAACCCCCCAACCCTTTTTCCCCCCCCAACCCCCCAAAAAAAAACCCCCCCCCCCCCCCAAAAAACCCCCCCCCCTTTTTTTTAAAAAAAAAAAAAAAAATTCCCCCCCCCCCCCCAAAACCAAATTTTTCCCCCCTTTTTAAAAAAAATTTTTTTCCCCCCCAAAAAAAGGGGGGAAAAAAAAAAAAAAAACCCCCCCCCCCCTTTTTCCCCCCCCCTTTTTTTTAAAACCCCAAAAAAACCCCCCCCCCAAAAACCCCCCCCAAAAAAAAAAAAAACCCCCGGCCCCCCCCCCCCCAAAAAAAAAAAAAACCCCCCCTTCCCCCCCCCTTTTTTTTTTTTAAAAAAAAAAAAATTTTTCCCCGGGGGGAAAAAGACCCCCCCCCCCCCCCCCCCCCCCCCCCCCCCCCCCGAGGGGTTTAAAAAAATTTTGCCCCCTTTTTTCCCCCCCCCCCCAAAAACCCCCCCCCCTTTGGGCCCCCCCCCCCCCCCAAAAAAAAACCCCCCCCCCGGGGGGGGGGGGTTTCCCAAAGGAAAAAACCCCCGGGGGGCCCCCCCCCCAAACCCCCCCCCCCCCCAAAAAACCCCCCCTCCCCCGGGGGCCCCCCCCCCCCTGGCCCCCCCCCCCCCTTTTCCCCCCCCCCCCCCCCCCCCTTTAAAAAAAAAACCCCCCCGGGGAAAAAAAAAAAACCCCCCCCCCTTTTTC